CTTTAAAACTCCAATAAAGCATTACAGGATATCATTGAACCAATAGCTTAATCAAAGAAATATCATTTATGTCATACTTCACTTCTCTAACTGTTTGTTCATAATCCTTTTTAGTCGCTCCTGTGGAGTTGAATTCCTCTCAATCTGCCCCAGAAACGCTTTTGTCAACTGACTTAATGCTAAAGATCCACTAATAGAAAGAAAATACAAGTGTCATTCAAGGCAACTCAAAAACTACTAAAATAAACCATTAGTTATGCCTCCAGTATATGATCAGACGATGGCCTGCAGGAAATGTAAAGCATTAGTTATGCCTAGTTTTCTGGCATCATTCAACAGGGAAGAATTTACACGAATTCCATTGCAGGAAGCAGTATGATTTTCAGAAGGGAAGCCTCCTTCCTACTCCCCATTTCCAGTATTATGCTGATAACTCTAGGGAAGATCTATTTTAGACCAGAAAAGTTTACCTCTGGCAACAAAATGGGGTTAAGCTGCAGCACACTGTTTCTAATCTCTTTACAAGAATCAAAGGTGCAGTGAAGCACACTTGTCAAAACGGGTAAATCATATCCCTGATTATATTGCACACGCCAAAAATTACTAAAATGAAGTTCAGCACATCTCCTGTAAAACAAGTGAATGCAGAACTTTATACCACCGGTAACCAACAAATTGTAGTATATGCATCAATGTCATTGGCAAAAAAGACGTATTTCTCTTGCTTAGCACTCAATCTACTACTATGAGAATGAATAGGCCCATTAAACATGACTTCCCAACACCATGTGCCAAATCAACTTCCATACCCCTATAAACAACACGGGAGGGGATTTCACAAGTTGCTACCGAAAACAATTGCAACTCAATTGCAAAAGAAAAATCAAACAAATAAGCTTATAGAACTCAAACAACGATAATTTACGATTATTATAAACCTTTTAAGGGTGTATGAGATTTTCTAAATCAATATTTAGCATTTACAACATTCCTTAACAAAACAAAGTTAAGGATATATGAATATATATTTGAACATATAATGATCTTGAAAAGACGATAAAGTTGAATATATAGATATGTTGGACACTTAGATTCAAGTTTACATATGGAAGATAATTAGAAGTATATCAACCTATATACCCAATCTATCAATATCGAATAATTCAAATGCTTCCTTAATTTCTTGTCTCTTCCGTTTGCTTAATCCATGGTGACGTCCCTTATGCTTGTCTTTCCCAGGCGTGTCGTTAAAAAGGCTAGAATGATGCAGTGATCAAAACATTTAATTTAAACACAATTCTTGTTGTAGACAATATTTGAAGCACTATCCCCACTTATATTTGCAAACCCAGTAAGCCACAATTATTACAAGACGAAGTACATCAATTACGAGATCTATGTATTGAATTATATCCATAGTGGTTTCAATTTCCTGAGACATTACTAATTTTCCCCCCATGATTCTATCACCTGCTAGTTTTACCATATCCATTTTATTTTATTATAAAACCCCAAATTTCACTATTAATCCAAACTAAGCCAGCAAAAGTAGGCAGTAAACCAAAAGGCTGATTTCTTTTCAAATTAGAAAGGTTTAGAAAATAGTACAATCCTAGTTATTGGTAATAAAAATATAAAGAAAATTACAATTACTAATAATTAAAAATAAACAAACTTAACTTAGTGTTAACGTCAAACGTGAGATCGGAACATAAAGAACAAAACCTAAAATCTAACTAATTAAGAAATATGGTTTTTGTTTTTAAACCTAAAATCTAACTAAAGAAATATGATTTTTTTTAAGTCATGGAATGTGTTGATCATGTTCGATGTGAGCTCAACGATATGACGAATTCATTAACAATTTTAAGTCGGATTGGACCAATAAAGAAAATGATTTTTGATTTGTCTTATAGGAATGTCGAAATTACTCTCTTTTTTGTAAGAGGGTACTTTGTATTACTAAGGATTACAAAGTAAACCACTTCAAGGACCTCATTAAAAAACCTCCCTAATCCTAAATGGAGGAAAAAGAGTGTACCTTGAGGTGGTAAGGATCAACCAACACAAAAACTAACATCACACAATCCATCCCCCATCCCTACAACAATCCCCCGGCATATCATAAATAAGCCATCCAAGACAAACCAAAAGGGGCAAACACAAAACGGCATAACCAATGAAATAGACCAACACCTCTAACGTAATAACACCAGCATCCATAGCTTAAACCGAAGACAAGCACTGAGACTTAAGAAAGTCCCTTACAAAAACTGATCCATAGGAGAAGCGAGAACTTGAAGCTCGATAATCTAAAGAGAAAAGCAAACTTAAAAAATAGGCATCGGTTGCAAGTAGAAAACCTGAAGAAAAAACATATCCCAGAATGCCCAAGCTACCAAAAATAATCGGGTGAGGGCAAAAGCAAAAAACCAAATAACAAGAACTCACCAGACTGCCCAGCAAACCAATTCAACTAAAACATAGCAGCACAAAATAGAAGTAGGCACCACGGATGATTGCTTCCAGTTTACACCCAACTTCGTTCACTACTGGAATCAATCATCGGCCGAAGGAAGTTCGCCCAGACCCCGAAAACGCAACAGTACCCTAACTAGAATGAATGCAAGCACAAAGAAATGGAAACACACTTGCTGAACTTCCTAAGGAAACAACTCCCAAAAACCACTCCCTGTTGCCCTTTGCACTCTTCTTCTTCTATTGTGTTTTAGGGAAATAATTCAACAAAGAGCCTGACTACCATTCTGAAGAGAAGAAGTTTTACAACCACCGGTCTTTAATAATCCCACGTCAGAATAAAAACTCATTCTAAAATGGAAAAAATTTTCACTTTGCTAACCGAAGATGCTTCAACCCGAATACCTTCACACTCTGCCTTAAAGAGCAGAAACTTCTACTATTGGAGGTACTAAAATCTAGAAAATAGGAGATGGAATGGGTCATTTAAAATGGTTTGGCTCTCTATTAATACAACTTATCCACCAACAGAAAAAACAGCCCATTATACGACACTATGGGCATGACAAAAAAACAAATGCCGATAATCTCCTCATTACCATAACAGGAAACGCATGCGTAAACCAGCTTTACAAGGCACCAACTTCACTTAACTTATTTTTTAGTGTTTCTTAGAAACTTTCTTTAATAAAGTTTACCTCGAAACTAGCATCTGCATCAGTACCCTCTTGCTAACTAGGAAACATTTCAAGACCGACAACTGCTGTATTCGTTGCTCCACAACCGGCCGGATAGCCAAACATGAAAACACAATGCAATACACAAACAAAGGAGCGGACAAAGTACAACATCTAAAAGCAACATCGAAGAACTTAAAACATTCCAAAGCAAACACAATATAGTTGCAGCAACAATACACATTCAAAACGGCAGATCGCCAAAGCACAAGACAGACACCACCCACCAAAGCACAGGCCATTGGACAACCATACCAGCCAAACAGTAATCGTTGAAATGAAATACTTCACCAGAGAACAGCTTACAAACAATAATACTAGTCACAACAAAACAGACTAACAAAAAACAACCTACTAAAAACCTTACGCAAAAATCCTACTTAGAAAACCACTCTAGCTCCTCTAAAAAACCAAAACAAAAACCTCAAGACCAAAGCCTTTAACCTCCACAACCCCTGACAGTCACGCACCAAACTCAAACATTCTGGAGACGCTAAATCCTTGAGTAACTCGCATTCATAACCAATAACAATTGCGGATCCAATCCTTGAGCCTATACGACTCCTCATCTTTGGAATATACACACTCAGAACCACACCAAAGTAAACCACTATCTGCCATAAACCTTTCCAATAGAAGTGTTTGGTAGAATATCCACACACAAAGAAAACGTAAACAGCGGAAGACCTAAATCACTCTCCCTCAAACTGTAATTTTTCAAACGAGCAATAGACTGGTTCACCAAGTCTTTTACACAAACAACTTGCACGCAATATTAACTATCACAAACTAACTCCAGAAGCTGACTAGAACCCACGCAGAGACTCACGATTTGAAACTAAATCACACAAAAACCCCATAAACTCCATGGCGAGGCCGACCAATCCTTTGTTCAAAGAACAAAAAAAAAAGGATTCAACGTCACGATGTTTGTCTTTAGAGATCAAGAGAGAAGCGGTCGAAAGAGAGCGAGAAAACAACAAGGGCGGTGGTGGAAGCGGCCACCACCGCCCAGACAACGACGGCGGATTCCTGTTGGAAGTTCTCTGAAACTTTTTGATGTCGAAATTACTCTTAGTATTGAAGCTTTGAATAATGGATAATATGTCAGTAATGTATGACAAAAAAATATATTAGTATGAGATAAATACAAGGGCATTATATATCAAAAAACTCTCAATTATTTGATATTAAAACGTTCATATTCATGCATAAGTGATGTTTGAACCCAAGATCTCAAGGAATAAAAATAATTCATTAACCACTAATATCACTTGATTCATGCATATGCCAAAAACTTGTAAATTTTAAAACATTTGAGCTGTGATTTGAATCCGATTTTAATTACATCTACATAATTTTTTAACAACTTCTACTTATGGAAGGGGGAAAATAAATTTTATTTCTAATGAGTATTTAAAACACAATTTAAGAGAGAAAATATATGAAAATTTTAACTTACTCTATAGATTGTTAGACACATCCAAATGATATTTGAAATGAAATATCTTTTATATTTATTATTAATCTGAGATAAGTATAATATATTATTTGTTCTAGGATAATTTTTAACCATTTAACATTAAATGTTCTTACCTCTGATACTACTGGTACTCGAACTCAAGATCTCAAAGAAGAACAACAATTTCTTTACTATCGATTTTCTATTTGTTACAAATAAAAAACCGATAGAAATTCCCATTCGTCAAACGTTCCGAAATTAGATGACACTATCTAAATGGTCAATGGCAAGAAATTTAACCCCAATTCCTTAAATATATAATATTGAAAAATAAACGACAATTTGTAGCATTAAAAGCAAAGTTGAAGGACCATTTGCATCTCACAGTTGCTGACTATTTGACCCACCTTACTTGTAAAGAGAAACTACAAATATACATATTTTATTTATTCATAAAATTACTAACTTCCTAAAATTATAAAATAAAACTTTTTAATTTCATTCCTAATTATAATTTTAGGAAACCATCGATTTTGACCAGTTGGCTCAGTTGCAAACCCTACCGCTTTTCATCGCCATAGCCACGTGGTCATAATCGACAGTCTTCATCTCTTTAGCGTGTGGCCCACCGTACAGGATTTTCCCATCGCGTGCCCGCTTCTTTCCCGTGCTTTTCAACCATACCCCAAACAGTTTCAAACTTCCGTTTCCTTCTTCGTCTTCGCCGTTTTCGTCAGCATCATTGTCATCGTCACCGTAGCAACTGCCACCAGCATCGCCATCATGGGTAGACCCAAAGCTTCCTTGCCGCATGATGCGATTAATCTGATCAGGCCCTACCTTCACGCATTCAGTTAGAAACGCGACAAGCTCGTTGCACTGCTTCTTGGCTTGCGCCAGCTCTGAGCTCAGCATCTCGTTATCCTTTTTCAGTTTCTCGTTCTCGTCCGATAAATCGGCGAATCCAGTCATGGCTGCCGGCTTCGTTTCCACCGATCCCGGATTCTTTGAATCCGGTGATGTAGACGTGGAGGTGGACCCTAGATCATCACCAGAGTTTGTTGGGGAGGAAGGATTCGCACCAGTTGGTTTTCCGTTCGCAGGAGTGTTAGCCGTCGATGTTGTCACCGTCTTCCGGCGACGGATTTCCGACAAGAGCTCCTTGTGCCCTCGCTTGAAGTTCTCGTTGGCAAATTCCCATTTGTCTGGAACAACCTTTCGAAATCCCTGTAATAAAACGGTAAGTTCATTCATTTTCATAGTCCGTAGAATTACTGGAAACAACGGAAAGACGATCGTAACCCCTCACCTAATAATTTTCGTAAAACTTTTTTAATTAATTAATTAATTTAATTAGTTCACCTATCCACATCATAATGAAACCTACTATTCAATCTTCAATTAATTTTTAAGACAAACCAATAAAATTTACTCTTTTTTTCTAAATAGAAAATTGTAAAGAAAGCACCCATCTTTTTCCTCGACTTTGGAAGGAAACGGTTGTTTTGAGCTTACGTGTGTAATCTAGATGTAGAATAATTAAGAATCTGAAAAGCTTACGTAAGTGTTGAGCTGACGGACGAAGCTGGAAAAGTTGTTGTGCTTGAAATAATTGGGAAGCAAATCCTTTGCAAAATCAGCAGTCTTCCAAACGACAAAAGACGTGCCGTTTTCATTCCACGAAATCACGTCGTCGGTGACCGGATCATCCACCAGCTGGTACGTTTTTATCAAGAACGGCGCCGGAACTGACCTTTGCGCCATATGTTCCGATTGACCAAACCCCTCCCAAAGTATTACGTAAAACCCAAAAAGAAAAAAGAAAAAGGATCGTAACAAAGAATTATGATTACAAGACAAAAATTACAAGAAAAAGAAGGTGGTGATTTAGGCAGAAAAACTAAAGAGAAGAAGAGCGGTCAAGAATTCCCAACCCCAGCAATAGAACCCAGAGAGAAAGAATCGAGAGTGAACGAGGTTGTCGCTGCGTTTGTTCGTATCAATTTCCATTAGTTAACAACACTAAACAAGACCATAACTTTGATGGTGGAAAAAAAAAGAAACTTTGGATTCTCAATCTCTTTTGCAGATTGTTGTAGGTGGGTTGTTTATAAAGGGAGGAAGACGCCTTCCAAAAAAAAAGCCGGTTGCTTCTCCACTGAGAGCGGATAAGAAGATGCTTTATTTAATAGTTGATGAGGAGAAAATGTAGACTTTTCTAACGAGGGCGGGTTCTTCGTTTGTCTTGAAAGGAAGCTTCCAACACATTTTGATTTGATTTGAGGGAGTAGAGTTGGGGATTTTTCACATGGAACGAGTTCCTAACACGTGCCTCTCACGTTTTTGTTCAAGAAGATCCCCCCTCACCTACCTCCCTCCAAATATATATAAAATAATTTGTTTCTCAGTGCTTCCATTCATCTCTATTATTATCACCATCACTCATATGATTTTCATTAATTGTATTATATATTTCTTTTCAATAATTTAAAGCGGAAATTTGTCTTTTAAATTAAGGATGAAACAACATCTAATTCTTAAATTTACTGCTCTATTCAATTTAGTTTTTAAATTTTTATACATAAAATTGGTTTTCAATCATTCTAATTATATAATAATATGAGATTATTTTATACTATTATTAAAAATAAAATATACATTTTAAAGAATTTTCTATGATGACGTGAAACACTCTTAGAATATTCTATGATATAAAACTAAGAAATTAAATTCAATGATTACATTCAAAAATTTAAAAATTTAAGATCTAAACTGAAAAAAATATTTATGGATCAAATTAAAAAATTATTAAATTTAAAGAGTTAATGTTTATTTTTTTTCTAAATCATTCAAAACTTTTTGAGAAAGTATGATCTTAACATGATAAAAAGAAATGATAAAATTAATAAGGTTATTATTGTATGTAGTGGCTATATAAAAAATTATTTTAAGATTATGTTTATTTGAATATCATTTGATATATTTGTATAATTACAATATTTAAAATCTAAGTCATAAACTTTAAAAAATAAAATCATAAATCTTGAATTAACTATCTCACATCATTAAAAATTTATTTATAAAATAACTTTTACCACTCAGATTAATAAATTAAAGAAATATTTATCATGCTTTAATTTGAAGTGGTAAGAAAAAGAGCAATTTTAACGTGATGAAGTTATCTTACAATTATTTGGAAGAATAGGGGGGGAACGTGTTTTACTATAAAAGATTGGAAAATTATGTTTTATTTATTTATATATTATTTTTCCTGGACATTGAGTCGACATATCATTTAAAATTGGGAAAATTCTACAATACATGATATGTATCGAAATATACAACTAATTTTAAAAGTAAAACTTTTAAATGGTCATTAAACTAAACTAAAATACTCATTTTGAACATTGAACTTTAAAAGTTACATAATATCTCATTCAATCAATCCATCAATTGTATTACAAAATAAATATCACATCTTTAATTATCATAAAATGATAACTTAACATGTTAAATTAATAAAAAAATCTCATTAAACCCTCAATTATAAACTAAATTTTATTTTGATATTTTTCAATATTTTGAAATAATAATTCTAAAAAAATAAATTATATATATAAATTCATGATTTATTTTTAAAATTATAAAAGTATTTTTTTAAAAAAATTATAACTTTATAATTAATCTTTTAATTCATTAAATTATAATTATTTTTTTAAAAAAATATGAATTTATCAATTCACACAATTTTTTATAATTAATTTTTTATTTAATTGTGGTTACATTTGAAAATTTATAATTTATAATTTTTGAAATCCAATAACTTTGGTTACAAAAATTAAATCATTTTTATTTAACCATGTTATTCAATTCTTTAGCTGTTTTAGTAGTTTTAAATGTAATTTTAAAAATATATTTCAAATTTTGAAAATCCATATATTTAAAAAAAAATCTAATTTTTTTGGAACTATAACTTAAAATTATTGAAAAATATCAAAAAAAAAAATTAGTCACAATTTATGGAGCAAATGAGATTTTTTTTATTTATTTAATATGCCACATTAGCTCTTAACTATAGTCAAGTGTCAATATTCTTTTTTAAAGAAATCTAAAATTTAAAATTCATTTTATAATTTTTTAAAAGTTAAATGACCAAAAGGATCATTTTATCATATTTTAATAACTATTTATAAATTTATATAATTTATACCGGCGCACTCATCCCAAAATTGACAGGAAGTTCTACAGTGCGGCAGGCTTAAAACGGCTAAAATAAGGCGTTATCGGTTTTGTTATCGTTTAAATAATAAAATCAATAAAAACTACCTAAATTTTCCCAGTAATTACCTAAAATATTATGTTAATCCGATCATTTTTTAAACCTAATAATGTTTCCGGTATTTTTTTTGAAAATCCGAATAAAAAAAACCCAATAATAATAAAATCGATAGCGTCTAATAATATTTTTAATAATTTTTATCGATTTTATTATTTAACACAATAACAAAACTAATAACATTTTATTTTAGTAATTTTTTAATATGCTGCACGGGAGTTATCCCACAAAATTGACTCAAAAATCATTCCTTATTTAAACCAGACGAGACAATAGTTTTGGAATTTCAGAAAAGAGTAACATTCTCATTCCTCATTGGTTGGTTTAGTAGGCGGTAGACCACCTGGATTAGGTTAAGTTAGGTAACTCAGAGACTAAATGTTGTACATTTTCTTCTCCTCCAGACAACCTGTCGTTTCCAAACCCCTAGCGTTTACTGTTATAAATACAATAATTTTGGGCCTAAATTAAAAACAGTGATATATATATATATATAAAGGTTAAGAAGGATCTGACCAAGCCTTCATTCCTGATTGTTTACATGTGTATATATATTAGCAGATGTAATTATTACACCTCATAATCTTTAGTGTTGGATAGCGTAAAGTGGAGGATAAAGTTATCTCTGGAAATAACGTGATGGCACAGATGTTGGAATTTAATCACAAATCATTTTGACTTTCTCCTCCACTATCCTTTTTCAAACTTCGATTATTCAAGTTAATTTATTAAAAAATTGGATCGAATTAAATATTACAATTTAAATAATTCAAAGAAACCAACTAGCATATGTTTGTAAATACCACCCGGGTCTAAATAAATCATTAAAATTATTGATTTCTCACACAAAAAAATCTTAAATTTAATTTGTAATTTTTAAAAAACTCTAAATTCTTAAAATTTCTTTATTGAATGAAACTTTAAGCGATACTATTTGCAGTTCGGGACGACAATGTCGTTGACCGATGAACCAATGAATAATATAGAATGGTTTGAAGGTTTCATGCAACGATAATGGAGTGAATAGTAAAAGGGTGAGGTACGACTACGGAAGAGTGGATGCTGATGGTTGATTTGGTAATAGTAGATGAGATTTACGAATTGAGGATTTAAGTTTTTTAAATAAATGAAAAAATTGAATAGAAAATAAATAAATGAAATTAAGAATGAAGTCATTATTATACAGATTTAAATTAAATATTTAATTAAAAATATATTTTAAACAATTATTTTCAATTAAATGTTAATTAATTAAATTATCCTTTATACCGTTGAAATTAAATATTCTAAGTTTGACATAATAAAAGCATATGTATGAACGCCTTTTTGATGAATTTATACACTAAATTAATGAATAGTTTAAAAAATTATCCATTTCAACGTGTATGTAATTGTATTTTTGTTATTAGATTATATCACCGTGCATCACATGGGGCATGCACGTGTAAACCATTCTATATTCAGTTAACGTGTGTGGATTTTCGTATAGTTGATTAGTTAAATAAATTTTGATTCGAGGAAAAGAGAGATTGAAATAAATTTTTTGAAGAATGGAAATGTTCATGACTCATGTGGAATGTTTCAGGTGCTAATTAATCAATGTATTAATTAACATTTTAATATTTGAGAGTTGAGTTAAACATTTCCACCTAATATCTTTTTATGATTGAATTTTCTCGAAGGGATTTTAATATAATTTTTCTCTACTTGGAAAGATTTTTCTTTTTCCCTTTTTTAATCTTTGATAAGTGGGTTTGATATTAAAATTCTAGTTGAAGTAATTTAATGGTAGAAGACGGCTTAATTACATAAATAATGAACCATTCAAAAGTTTCATTAACCTAATGAAACTTCTTAGTATTTATATATATTATATATTAATGTCTGATAGTGTAAATAAACAAATAAATAAATTCCAAAATGGAGTACAAATGTACAATGTTCCACAATGATACGTACTGCGTAGGCAAATAACAGCTCTATCTAATCTTTGAAAAGGTCAAATTGCAGAAATCTTTTCTAAAACTAGGAAATATTGTCAGCAGAAAAAAGAATTTTAAAAACATGACATGTGAGAAATTAGGCGTATTTACCGAAAAATCATTGATTTTTTTATTTACGTGTCGTTAGAAAAATATTACGGATATAATATCTTTTATAAAAATATACGGCCCATACATCACGCCTTACGCTGATGTGGCGCCACATGTTGAAAGGTGTGACCCATGAACCGTGCCTTACGCCAGCTGGAGTCACATCAGTGTAAGGTGCGGTGCATAGGACACCTTTCTACTACACGTGCCAGAAAGGAGCGGTTCATGAGCCGCGTCTTTCATAATTGTATTTGAATTTCACGACTTTTAAACTTTTCCCTCGGCTATAAATAATACGCTCTCAACTCGTAAACATCACCCAACAATCCTCTTATCTTTAATTCAGAAGTTCGTTTGACATTGTAAGGTAATTTTTTAATATATAATATTTTTTATATATGATTATTTGGGAAAAAATTATTGTAATTATTTTCTATTAATTTTTGTGGTTGTAAAATTGAAAAGCGGAATCATACGTTGAAACATTTTTTTCGATATAGTAATAATATAAAATTATATATTTTTAAATTATTTACGTTTATTTATAAAAAATTTATTACGTTATATTTTAATTCATATATTATTTATTTAATTAGGCTTATTTTAGTTTTTTTTTTTCAGATATAAGACTGTCTCCCTTTCAAACTCTCAAAATGACGTGAATTTCAGATATTGTTTACTATGATGGAGAAATTCGAG